TTCACCTAAAAAATAAGACTATAAAATATTGAATTGCATGATTTTTTTTTCTTTTTTTTTAATTTCTTTCAGGATAGAGTGTGGAATAAAAGCAATTATCCCATCATTAACATTAAATCTTCATTAAAATATTTTAATCTATTTTTTTAGAAAACAATAATGAAAGAAGTTCCCTTTTACCTGACTGACATGGAAATAAATATTTCATCCGGACAGCCAACCACCGGAGGTCAGGTTGCCTGCCGCTGACGTGTATGCCCGGACGAAATATTTTCTCTCGGCATGACGACTTATTTTTCGAATTAAAACTATTTATTATTTACTTGTGCATCATTTGTGCACTTCTAGAAACAATTTAGTTCTGATACATTGACTTTGATTCAATTTTTCTAAATTTTAGAATTATTTAAGGTTATAATAAAATTCTTAGATTGATTTGTCATGCGTTCACCTAATTTAAATAATTTTATTAATTCTTAAATATGATATGTTCAGCCGAGCAAAATACTGACTTTCATGCAAGCAATAGCCAAGATTTCTGTTCAAAATGTTCATGCAAGAAAATATTTTTATTTTAATAATATTTTCCTTGGAGCCCATGTTTTTCCAACGAAGAAAGCAGCCCTGGGCAAAATGCAAAGCAAGCTAAGGTTTGACTTTCTCTAATTCTTTTTGGAAAATTTACATAGATGCCACACTATGTTTATGTATTTACGAAAAATTATTTTATACATACACCGTATGCACAAATGTATGCGGTGTCCGATCCTGACAGTAGATCACGGTGATCTACGGTCAGGATGTTTCGGTGGGCCCCATTTAAATTTTTTTTTTTTTATTTTGATTGCATCAGGATCGGATACCGCATGCATCTCTGTATGCAGTGTATGTATGCAATAATTTTTCTATATTTACACACCTTACACTTAAATTTAATATTTAATAACACGTTTGTGTCTTGATCTCTGTATGAAAATATATATTTCACTTTCAGAATGATAATAATGGTATTTTTATGCGATGTTAAAATTTTAAATATTATAAATATAAATATAAAAAATTAGGCGCAAAATAAGTAATATATAAGAATTTTGTGGTATGTGCTTAAGAGCCATTTTACTTTTTTTCCTTTCTTCATAGTAATTCTATTCACTTAGGTTAGTTATATTAGAATTTTACATTCATAACACAAATCTTATTGATGTTATGGAGTAATAATTAACATCTTAGCATTGAGTGAATATCCTATAAAGGGGGAAAAAAGGAAGTAAGTAGAAGGGTACACCTTGATTCTTACGTAAAAAATCTTAGAAATGGGGAAATCACGGGATCTGACTAACATCTACCTACATAATGAACTTACAATTGGTTCAATGTAACTTCTTTTTTCCTCGGAACGTAGCACCCAATTCTTATGCATTTATGTAATGAACTTTACTTTCATAATGAACTTTCTCCCTCCAACCTATAATCAGTGCCCAAATAACCATAACAAGTCCTATCTCTACTACAACTCTAACATTAATGTCCCGAACATCCTCAACACTCCACTCTCTAGCACATTGCCAATAGTAGTTCTCTCTTATGCATTCAACCTATAGAAACCTACTGCAATGATTGAATACATAAAAAAATCTCATTATTTATTTTTTTTTTGTTCTTATTTGCTCAATTTTTCTTATTAGCTTTAATATATCCACATGTATGGGGCTTGTTTATATCACTTTTATTAATGATAAGTCATTTCAATTGGTTTTATCCCATGAGACAAAAATCATATGCAATTTAACTATTTATTGACTTAAAAAATCTATTTGAGCGCAAATTTTAGCAACAAATTAGAATTTTATGCACTGATAATGACACCAAATATTTAAGTATAAACTTCAGACGCACCTCACCGGTCATGGCATCTCACACCAATACAATTGTCCATGCACTTTAGAATAAAATGATCTGGCCGAGCACAAAAATTCCCATATTCTCAAAGTTTTTTGAGCTCTCAAATCTACCGCCAATTTACAGGATTACCCTTTGCTTGACATTGTTCTCACGACTTATCTTATTAATCTCCTTCCTTCTCCTACAATACAATAAAAATCCACACGTTCCATGCTTCACAACAAGCAACCATCATATCTTCACCTTAAACTTCTAGGCTATCTATGGAATCCAAGGCTACACCACTTAATTACAAACAATTTGGTTGCCCGCTCCATTCCTTAAGTATTCTTTCGTTACATTCCCAACCTGAAAGGTTAGAAATGCCTTACTCCAACTACAGGTCGAGGGTACATATATGACATGCTTACTTATGTTGAATCGACGTTCTCGTTTCAAACCACCTTACTCTAACCTGCTTCACCCTCAGTGTCCAATTCTTCACTTTATTCCTCACACCTCACATTGGTTCCAACTTAAGCATCTTCCCATAATCCTAACTTTATTGCTATATTTCCATCTCAGAGGTAGCCCACTACTCCGTCTTCCAGTCCCAACAAAGTCTTTGCATCAAAAGATGAGGTTCATATGCCACCAAATCTCAATCCTGATCCAAATTCACATTTCAGATATCCCTTGAATTTGAAGCTTAAAATTGATATCAATCTTTTATACACCACTGCTATTAAAATAGAACCAAGCTTCTATTTGATTGTTGCGAAGCATACCTAATGGCATTAAGCAATGTCGAAAGGAATCCAAGCCTTCCTCACTCGAGGCACGTGGACACTAGTCCCTTTCCCACCCGATAAACATATTATTTGATGCCAACGAACATGCAAAATAGCACACCACACTGATGGCACCATCACTTGTTATAAAGCTCCTTTTGTCACCCAAGATAATGAGCAATTTGACATCAGTTATGACTAAACATTCAATTCAGTTGCAAAATTCTCAAATATTAACACACTAATTATATTTCATGCATACCACAAATAACTTATCATTTAGTTGGATGTTTCAAACGCCTTCATACATGAAACTCTCCCAAAGAGATATATACTTGAATTCAAGGATCATTAACATCCCGATCATGTGTTTCTTCTAAAAAAAGGTTATTTACGGTTTCAAATAATCTCCTCACCAATGGTACAACACCTTCACATCTACATTTCAAACAGTCAACTTCTAATTCAATACTATTGACCCGTTTGTCATGATCCATCGCACGACAACTACCCAACTTTACATGTTAATTTATGTTGACAACATTTTGATTATAACTAACCATCAATATTACATTGACATTTCATCACTCAGTTTTGAGCAACCTTCCAACTCAAGAATCTCGGTCCACTCTCCAATATTCTAGGATTTCAAATTAATTATACCCCTGAGATCTGCTCCTTACTCAATCTAACTACGCCTTTGATCTCCTTCAACGAACAAAAATGCTTGAATATAAATCTATCTGAAATCCGTCTCCAACCAAGCAATCCTCCAACATCGAAAATCTCGTAACATATTAAAATCTGCAACTTTACAGGAACCTTTTGGGATCCCTCCAATATCTCACCACAACTAGACCCAACATCACATTTTTTGTGAATAAGCTATGCCAACATCTTCATCAACCATTTAATATACATTTTATTCATTTTAACCGTCTAATACAATATGTAAAAAGAACCGTCACCCATGGTCACACCATCCAATTTGATGATCTCTAACTTCGTATTTATTCTGATTTGGATTGGGCTCCAGACATAACAAACACAAAATCTATATCTGACTATCATGTGGTCCTTGGCAACACTCTCATTTCATGGCACTTCAAGAAACAACCTGCCATGGCTAGATCTTTCATTGAAGTGGAGTATAGGGCTCTCACCACTGTCACCACTTGTGTAATCTAGCATCAATGACTTCTCAACGACCTTCAACTCCACTAAGCAAAACCCATCGCTCAATATTGGGACAACCCTGCTAGCTCTAGCTCTTGCCAACACCCCTATTTTTCACGCACGAATAAAGCACATCAAATCGGCTTATCATTTTATTCAACATTGTATCAAAACCAATCAAATTATAGTTCATGACATTCGCAACTAGCCAACATCCTTAGTCTTTACCCACTATACATTTTTTCTGTCATTGCCATAACTTACCGAACAAATTAGAGTTATTAATTTACGGGAGCTGACAACAAACATCACATAAAACATAATAAGGGTATCCTTTCCACTAAACATTGTAGCTCAACAAATCACAGCTAATCCCACATAACACACATAACCACATTCAATTAAGTTGTAGATGCCGTAACACAATAACCAACTCTCTCCTTCTCTCTCTCTATAGACAGGGTCTGTTTGGGGCAGCTACAACTATTTGAATAAGTAATTGTGAAATTGTTCTTTAAAAATTTACAATGACCATTATAATTTTTTTTCGAAGTTAGACTATAGCTTTATAGTAGTCACCGCAAGTTACCAGATCTGGTACGAAAACATAGCTTTCAGTTGTAATTTTTGGAAAGACAGACTAAAATCAGTGTTGTCAAGCAGATAAAACTATAGTGCAACACCGTACCGCCATTCCAAACGAACTCACATACTACATATAATGTATACATGAAATGAAATCTAATAAAATAGATTGGGATTTCACTTTGAACCTTTCTGCACTTAACTTTTCTAACATGTCTTCGTGACGTTCAAAGTATTTTTTCATGTAAATCCCCTCATAATTAAAGAAGAAAATTATTTTCAAATATAAAATTACAAATATTGCATTTGTTGCTCGCTTTTTAAAATAAATAAAAAAAAAGAAGAAGAGAAATTGTATTAACAAAATCGGCACGAGTCCAATCCATAGGCCTCCTCTTTCCGTCCGCCGCGGCCGCCTCTACCGATAGCGACCGTCACTGCTGACCATGACCGCATCCATTAAATAAAAAATAAATTAGCCAAGAAAATTAATTTTAGATAAATATATACAAAAGAAAAATGATAACCAATCAGAAGCGAAGAAAACACGTGCCACACGCACGATCTGCTGTTCAACTCTCGCAAGTCGCAAACGTACAGCTTCTTCAGCCCTTCGTACCTTCTCGTCTTCTCCCACATCCTCCATAACGGTGCCAAAGCAAGCGACAACGTAACCGAGCGATGAGATTACAGAGTGATCGGATTTAACGGAAGCTCAGAATTCAATGTAATCCACCTTCATCGCATTTAATTTGAATCATGGTTTGGGCACACAGTTGAATTTCTCAGCCGTTCCTTCATTCCTCCGTTCTGATTCTCGTCGATCCATGGAAGAGGAGGCATCGGTAGTCTAGGCAGTGTTAGCCCCTTTTTCTGTCATCTGTTAGGGTCGGTAACGATAGGAGTAGGGCCGATCGGCCTCGATCATGGCAGTCGTGGATAACGCAGACGTTTCTGATAGAGGGATGAGGGTAGAGTCCTCTTTTAGTCGTGATATCGATGCAGGTGCTGCAAAGGAGCACGAAAATCGCCTCGCTACTTCAGCGGCGGGGCTGCAGCAGGGTCATTTCGGAGCAGCGAGGATTAGAGGGCCATTCCTTCGTCCTCACCAGGGCTCCTCCTTCTCAGGCTTCGATGTTAAGGGCTTTCAACCACCGCAACAGTGGGTTGGGCATGCGGCGGCTGTCCAGCTGCCTGATGGTGGACGGAGGGGTAACGAGGAGGAGGGCTTTAAGAGGGAGATGAGAGATCTAGAGGAGCTGCTATCAAAGCTTAATCCGATGGCTGAGGAGTTTGTGCCGCAATCGTACGTGAACTCTGGAGCCGGGGTTATTTGGAGCGGCGGAAGTGGCATGGATACCGGTTTTTACTCTAACAGTTTTGGGTTACCTATTGTTTATCCGAATGCGGGCTATGCAAATGACGGTAATCCTAATGGTAGCAATGCCAAAGGCGGTAGGCGGGTGAGACTCTTGGAAATTTTATGTTGCATTTTACCAGTTGTTATTTGATATTTCTCGCTTTTAATTGTTAGTTTCTTCTTCCAGAGGAAGAACAATCACAGCCAGGGAAGGAGGCTAATGAACAGCCGAACAAGTATGGCTCAACAAGAAGAGATAATTAGAAGAACTGTCTACGTGTCTGACATTGATCAGCAGGTTCATTTCGTTCTGTTTTTGTCTACTTTTTCTTCTCAAGGTTTGGTTTCTGATAAACTAATGAAATCATATTTTTATCAGTTTGTTTTTCCTTCCCTACCTGATTTCTTGTTGAATATATGTGGTCTTGTTTAGTTTTTTTGAGAAGTCGAGTTTGACACACTGTAAGTTGTTAATTGAATGATCTAATGGTCCGGGTAACATTGATTTTATATATGGATTGCCCCAGCTTGCAAAGTGAAATGAGGATGAAGCATCAATATTTAACTGTAACATGTAAATTTGGAAGAGAATCATGCGAGTAAGGGTTCGTTTGAGGCGGCGGTGCGGTGCACCGCAGCTTTGTCTGTTTGGGTAAACGCTGAAATCTTTTTTTCCCCATCGGTCCTGGCTAGGTGCGATGGCCTACGGTTTGACATTTTCGAAAAATAAAAATTATAATAGACACCACAACTTTTTGAACATCAAATTATTTTTCAACAGTTTTACAACTGTTTTTTAATAAACTGCAGTTGCCCCAGACAGATTGTAAATCAGGGGGAGCATTTTCTGTCTTAGATTGTCCGCATAGTTTTATTTCGTGGGCAACATTTTTTTGCTTTAATGGCTGCCTATGTTCCTTTTTTTGGCTGTACTTATTTGTCATTATTAAAAGGGTTTCTAAGCTCTTTGTAATCTCTTTGTCGTTTATATATCTTAGGGCTTGGTCATTTTTGTCCTGATAATTGATACAATGCAAGTTTAAATTACTCCTGATTTTTAGATAGCTTTTCTTTCTTTGCGATAGGTGTTCCTACAAGGTTGCTATGTGCTCCCTTCAAATCCAAACTATGTGCGGTTCACCACCAAGTTGTCTGTATGAAGTCATCATTGGTTTTGCTGGAAGACACCTAGTTCTACTTTTCCTCTCTTGTAATGTTGGTTGTCACCCCCCCCTCTCTCCTTCCCTCTGGTCCTATCACAACACAATTCTTCCTACTTTGAAAGGAAGCTAGTCACTTGTATTGGTTTCTTGTATGCCATCCTCTTCATCTTACTGTTCTATGTTCTATGTTATACAACTTTTCATTGATGTTGTTTACTTCAAGGTTAAGACCAAATGGGTTTTACTCTTGAAGAAGCTCCTCTCCTTCCTCTCTCCTCCACATTTCATTTTCATTTCTGCTTGACAGAATAACATCTTGTGGTACTTTTAGATATCACTTTCAATCTCCTCAAAGTTTTATTTGGTAGTAAATGTATTTCATTGTTTCATTCTCCACTAGGGTCAACCAACAAGGAGGGAACCTTGTTAGATCTGTTTTGCCTAATAACGTACCTTGGTGATTCGTTGGATGTAAATTCCTAAATCGGAAACTCAATTTTGAATAATCTGGCGATAAGTGTTAATCAAACGGGACAGCGGTGTTTTCAAAACGCCGCCCGCACTTTTAAGCTGCCCCAAACGGGCCCTTAATCTAATTGAAGATACTTATTAGTTCACACTAAAGCAAATCATCACTAAGCAAATCATCTCCTATCCTTCTCTTTCACTTTGCTTCACCAAACCAAGCAGCTTTCTCTCAATACACTCACTCAAACTCATTACAATATGACTACACACACTTGCTAGCTTCTTTTTAATGACAATTGTCCTTCTTTACACTCTAGTACTCTTCTTAAATAATTCCCACACTCCCTAATGTTCTTCCCCTAAGTGTTTGAAATTTGGTAAATATAGTTTTTTCTGTTAGGGTTGTTGCGCCGCGGCTCTGTAGTTGGGTGTTGCGGCCTTGAGGCTTTGAGCTCTCTGTGTTTTGATCTTTCGTTCTGTCTTCCATAGCATTGTGGAGTTGGGACGCTAGGGAGCTTTACTGGGGCGTGTTTGCATTAGATAGCCAACCTCTAGACTTTGAGCTATCGGTAAAAATTAATATAGGATGCTTACATTGTGTTGAGGCTCTAGTGATCGAAACTGCAACGCTCAGTAATCTTTACCACCTCCTATTTTCATCTTTAAGGACATAAAAGCACATAAACGTATGCCAAATATGAAGCAAAACTTGAAAAGGCAAAAAATAATGTAAATTTTTTTTGTGTATTTTTCTCATTTAATAATTTCTCAAACTCGAGCATTACTTGTCCTTAAGCAATCCTTGTATCAAAGGCAACGACTAACTAAAGTTTATTTAATGGATGAAAATTTATTATATACAACTCATGCATAAAATTAAGTTTAATAAAAAACTTTTAAAATATTGCGAGTTTTAATTGACTTATATTATCCGAATATTTCACTAATCTTGATAACTTATTCAATTTAAACTCTAAATGTTGTTTTGTGAAAATGATTAATTCTATTTAATTGATAATTTTCTGTGAAATTTTTATAATCAATCATTTATAAAAGCTTAATTTAGATCTTATTCTTCTAAGTATATCACTAATAAAATTCAAATGACAAATTCCCTATCCTTGTTAGATGAAAGAAAAAGATAAAATATCAAATTTTAATTGGATTTGATCTCAAGCCTCTCCTTATTTGCTCTTTTCTTAACAAATCTTTCTTTTAATATTTTCAGTCTTTGAAATTTTTTGTATATTTTCTCTTTTTTTTCTTTATAAGGAAAGCTATTTTTGTTCAAGTTTATTAATAATGTTGAATACTCTCTTCTTCAATTACCTAAAAATTATTTACTTTATCAAAATCAATTATTAAGTTTA